TAATTGACTGTTTGTGACTTACTTTGCTGTGAACTTGAGTGTCAAGTAAGATCATGTGTCACACATGCTAAAAATGTTCTGCAGAGTTTGATATTTAGTTTCACTGTTGATTTGAATTAAGCTCCTTTTAAAGGGAAGTCATGTTATTAGTAGAGTCCAACTGTGTGTATTTAATATCAGTATGTTCTGTGAAGACCTCAGAGTTTACTGAACAAACAGCATCATGAACAGCAGAGAACAAACTGGCCGCCGATAAAGTTTTGGAGATGTTCAAAACAACTTTAAAAAAAGAACATACAAAGATTTGCAGATCCCTCACAGTATTGTTCTATCAATCATTCGAGATTAAAATGGTATAGCTGCAAAACTGAGGCCGTTCAGTTAAACTACCAGGCTGGGAAAAGAGAGCATCAATAAGAGAAGCAGCCAAGAGGTGACCTGTAACGAGCGACTTACATCCAGAGCTCAAGAGGGAGAATCTTCTGACATGAAAAATATCAGTCATGCACACCACAGATATGACCGTTAAGACAGAATGGCCAAAAGAAAGACATTGTAGAAACAGTTAATAAAAGTTTGTCACAAGCCACATAGCAAACACAGCAAATGTGAAAGCATGTGTTGAACTTTTGGCCAATGTGTGGAGGACAGCACTGCTCATCCTACAGCGTATTGTTAAACAGAGGAGAGGCAGCATGTTGCTGTGTGAGTGCTTTTCTTCTGCAGGGTCAGGAGGAGCTGAATTCAGGACAGTCCTGGATGAAGAACCTCCTGCAGGTTTAAACTGGGGTATAGGCCCACCTTATCAAAAATAAATTCATTTATTAGAATGGTCCAGTCAAAGTCCAGAACTGAATCCAACAGGGAAACTTAAGAAGGAATTAAAATAGATGTTCACAAACAATCAGTATCCACTCTGTGCTGGAATTGTTTTGAAAATGATAACGGGCAAACAATTCAATCTGCAGATGCTAAGCTAATGGAAACACACACACACACTGGTGTTTGTCAGATACAATCTAAGTTGGGCTGCAGTTGCCACTTACTACATCTTGTATCCTCATGTACTGTGTACTTTCCAATGATGTTATATAACTGTTATTATGTATGTGTATGTTGTTTGGTGTTGTGGTTTCTTCGTTTTGTTTTTTCTCTTTCTGCAGGTGTAGAGGCAGACTTCAAGAGTTGTGTTCTCTATTTGCTTCTTTCTCTCCTTCACTTCTATTGTCTTGTTTCCCTTTAAAGCTTTTCCCACCTTTGCCCCTTTCTTTTTCATCTCTGCGTCCATTACATTTGAATTAAACCCAAAACAATTTCAAAACAAAGTTCCATATATACACAGCATACAAAGTGGAGCATCACAGCGAAAGCCGTAATGCTCCACTTGTGAAAGCAAATTTTTTGGGCCTCACCTTGACACTCAGACAACAATTCTGAGCGCCACACTGACTGACATGTTAAAAAAAGAAGAGAAAAAGAAAGTCTTGCAGCTGCAGAAGAAGCAATATAAACCCCAAAGTATTAACGCCACATATTTAAGATTATTATTCATTCAAAAACTTAAAAACCATTTTAGTGTCTGGTTTTAAATTCCCCCCTGCCAAAAATTAAAAAAAAATAACACAGAGAATGTTGCAGCTGTAGTGTAGCAAAACATTAAAACATTTGGGAGACATGAATAAGTTTAGAAGGCAGTGTGTGGAGAGAATGTTTCACTCAATCCCAAACAACCCATCCTCTTGTCTCCTGCTGTACGCTCCTCTAAAGGAAAGTTCATTTATTCATGAACGTTCGGAGTAGCCACAGAGTCATGTTCCCACTCCTACAACCCAACACCAGAAAGCTGATACACTCCTCACAATACTCCCAGTCTCATAGTAACAAGGGAGTTTCTTTACGGCTGATGCATTCCTTCACACACACACACACACACACACACACACACCACACACACACACACACACACACACACACACACACACACACACACACACAATCTTCACAGTGGGTGAGGGCGTATTAGAAAATTGCTATCCGGCGTTTTACCAGAAAGTGTTTAATTGTGACAACCACCTGATTGCGTTTGAGGAGCCTCCCCATAAAGCCACAAAAACACACGCGGTGCATGTTGAATTTAGATTATTATGAAAACGGAGCAGTACAAACAGAAAATGTTTGCTTTTTTTTTTGTTCATGTGACACCAGCTGTCTGTCATTTTAAACCTCTTTGTCTTTCACACCCGGTCAACCATGCTCAACCCACTCAAATCAAATCAAAAAAACTCCCCAAGGACTGTCCTTTCAGATACAGGGGGGGAACCAGAGAGAGGGGGAGTGCCAGCCTCTTTCTCACTGGGATGGCTACCGGCTGAGTGTAATAAAAGCCTTTGTTGTGCTCCCCAGCTACAAGCAGCAAATTCAGCTGTGGCAGAAAATGCCTCATCAGTCATACTGATTATGTATTGACTGTAACAGCAATGAAGCCCAGGTAGACGGCTAAAACATACAAAAATATGTAAATGAGCACTGAAATCATCCTGGAAGAGAAATGAGCTTCTGTCTGATCACAGAGGGACGCAATAAAGATAAGAACTGAAATGTTGGTGGTTCCTGTTTTCCTAAAGTTGGAACATGTGCACAGCTGCTTGGATACTGTGTGCAGTATCCAAGCAGCTGTGAATGCAAAGTGACAGGTAGGAGGATGTGGGCATCTTGGTGAAGCGGGAAATGTGCACAATTAGGAATCAGCAAGGAAACAAAATGCACTACATAAAGAGAGGGGGGGAAATGCATAGACATCACAAGAAATATCAGCTTACTTACGTTTTCTGCTTCAGTTGTTTCAGCCTTTGAAACTCTGTTCTCAGTTTTCCTCACAAACCTTAGTCCCTTTCAGGAGCGGCGGGTGTAGAAGAGGTCCTTCAGAAAGAGGAAATCCATCGTATTACATATTAGTTGAGATCCCAGAGGTTTGGTTTTAAGACACAGAGGGGTCAGAACAACTTCCCTGCACTGTGTGAGCAAGTACCCACCACTACATCAAGCATGGTGCCTTTTCAAATAACCTCTGCTGGTGTGGGACAAGCCAGTTTGCCAAAAGCCTGAAACGGATTTCGGATTGGAGCTGGCTGTCCTTCGAGTGAGCCATAAAACAACAGGGAAATAAAACAAAATGATTTTTCTGTCTGAATTTGGGAAAGGGGAGAAACAGACTGACTGCTGCTTTGTGTCAAAACATAAAATAAATTTACATTACTTTAAATATCAAGAATTTGATTTAAAAGACTAATTAGCCACTGTGACAAAACTTCACTCAAAACACTTTGTCCACCAAAAATGCAAACAAAACATCCCATTTTCTATTTGTTTTAACTAGATTTTTATATTTATGTATATACTTACTTTTTTCTTTTCTTTTTACAAGAGCTGCTACTTTTAAAATCTTATTGTGCTTTTGGTCTGCAGTGAGAATAAAGGAGTCCTAATTATGATTCTAACCTCTTGCTTACATCTGGGTATTAAAGTCAAATACAGCTCAATACCAGAGTCTAGCTCTTTTTAAATGTATTTAATTGTTTTTATATTTATTTATTAGCCTTCGCAAACTGGGACAAAATTTGATTGTTGATGAAGATGACAGGAAAAAGTGTTCAAACAAAAGGGGAAGCCACAACATTTGAAGGAATGTAAAGTGAATCTCTTTCAAGAGTTTGGCTGAGATTCACAAAAACTACAGACGGACTCAAGCTGACTTATCCAGAACATGGGCTACGACTGTTGCATTCCTTCTATTAAACCAATCTTGAATCTGAGACAAAGGACAGCACTGTTGTTCAATGGTCTAAAGTCCTCTTCACAATTCAAGCCAATTTTTGCATTTAATGTGGAAATTAGAGTCTGGAGGAAGAGTGGAGAGGGTCAGATGCCCGAGTTCAAGTGTGACATATTAGCCGGCAGAGATGATTTGAGGAGCCATTTTATACACTCACTGTGTTTCATCAAGTACAGGCGTCTATTCACTTCAGGCATCATGGTAGCAAGCTTTGTAGAGATGCTGATTTCATCAGGATTTGAAATCTTGAAATAAAGAAATTCTAATTATGATTCTAACCTCTTGCGATTAAAATGCACCCTCCTTTAAATGCAGCTTTTGTTTCGGTCGATAGGCTTGACCTGCACAGTCAAAAGGACAGAATTGGTCGATACTGAAGTCTAACTTTGTCCTGGAAGGGGGAGACACACAATCATCTGTAAACTCTACAAACTATATATAATTCATATTTGATTAGCACAAAAACAGCAGCAATGAGCTATTGTTCTTTTTCAATTAGAAAGTAAACATTTGTAAATGGTAAAATCCTTCTTATTGGTCTTAATCATCTAAAGCTGTTAAGTTTGTCAGAAATTTAATTGTAGGTTTTCATTTGCTGTAATCCATATTCATCTAAATAATTGGAAATATATAAGTGAAATACATCATTCTGCAGGAAATGAAACCCAATAATGCACCGAGTTCCCCTTTTGAATCGCATTGCAGAAACAAATTCACGTTTTAATGACATTCTGAGTCGGCGAGATGAGCCGCAACACAAGTGAGCAATGAGCGCAATGATTCCAACAATTGGTCTCCACAGACATTACCAGATTTAAAACAAAAAAAACCACTATATATATACACTATATCAACTAATCAGTTCAGTGAACCGCATCTATAAACTCTGCCGTTAAAAACTTTCCTCTTCCTTCTCCGCCTGAGCCATGGTTTCCCTCCTGCTCCTCCTTCGCTGACAGTTCAAAGTCTACCACCCCGCATCAGCCCCCCAAATGCACCTTACAATTTAAAACCTGCCCACCAATCGCAACGCTCTATGGCAGCAACAGTCCCCGGTGACATTTGCACAACAAAAGAGACGACAAGCTGATTTATCTCCTTCTCTCCCCCATCCCGCTCTCCTCACTCCCCCCACTCTGCTTGGTTCCCTTTCCCCTTCCCCTGTGACTCCTCCTCTCCTGCTTTTGTGTGTGGACCCAAAATCCCCTTCCATGGCTCTGACCCTCCTCCCTTCTGCACTAATCTCCTCGTGTCCCTCTGGATGGAGCGCTCCGGCGCTAACTCTCACTGCACCGAGACCCCCGCACCCAACGGGGCACGCTGCGGTTTGGCCTCATTTACAGACCTCCCTCCTTTGCTAAGAAATAAATGAAGTATGACTCTGGCAGAGAGCTTGTATGTTAAACTGTAACACGAGCAAGCGCAATCACAAGTGCGAACAGATGGTATACGTGCAAGTCAGAGCGCAGGTGCCTTATTGGAATAAAATAAGAAGCTAAAACTGCAGTTTGTTATCCAATGGGGCTTTTACATTCATTTCTACTTATATAGATTTAGAATTGGAGGTTATAGCCCATTTATTTCTACTTTCAAGCTCAAACATCACAAAAGACACAGTAAAACTACTCACTAAAGGAACAACTTTGGGTGCATGTTGGGATCCCTCAGGGATCTGAGAGGAACCGATGGAGTTTAACCTTTAGGGCGCTTTGTGTTTCACGTTTAGTGCTTCTATAGCAACAGTGGACAAGTGGACCCCCGCCATCTCTCTCTATTTTGAACACCATTAACTGATCCCACCCCAAGTGGGAAGTCCCAGTCAAACACACACACACACACACACACACACATTAACCAGTAACACACAGGCTTTGAAATCTTACAGATAAGAATGTTGATTTTGACAGTATTTTCAATTTATATTTCAAACACTGTTCAACTGATTAATTGACACCAACGTCTTAAACATGTGCAAGAGGAATGCAGTGTATCGACTTCTTGCCGCACAAAGGAGAAAAGAAGAAAGTTTGACCCTCTGTTTTCAGGTTTATATTCACGTTTTCCGGGCTTTTGCCATGTCTATAAGCTTTCTTAAGCTGTGGAAAAGCTCTATTAATAAAATTCATTTGCGTCCCTGAGCAGCGGTGGTTTTCGAAACTCCCGACAACGAAGTGTTTAACTTGGATTAATGAGTCACTCAGCGCGAGTCCTTCTAAAGATCCTCCCCATCAGTCTGAGCAATGGATTGTCTTTGAGGGCTTTGGAAGCCCTCTCCCACAAGCCCTCCTCCTTCCACAGACCCAGACCCTTCTTCTCCGCTTTCACCTCTGCCCTGTGCAGCCATTTGTGCAGGCGCCAGTGGAGGGGAGAGCCCGGCGGGAGCCCCGCGATGGGAGCTCTGCGGGCCAGTCCGAGCCTGAGGAGCTCCTCGTTCATGGAGTAGCTCCACATCGACCCCTGCTGGACAGACAGGAAGGAGGCTAGAAAATTACAACAACAAAAAAAGCCCATCGAAGAAGAAGAGCTACTTCAATTCATGTAAGTTTTAATGAGAACTTACAATAAGCTTAAAATGAAAAGGCAAAAAACAGTTTTGTCTCAATTTCATTTAAAGGTTCATATACACCTATGAGGATGATTCGATGCCTCACCCGTCTCTGGGACACCAGACAGTGCAGCATGTTGTCCTCTCGGCTGACGAGTTTCAGCCAAACTGTTTGAGGAGGAATCAGGTTCTTCTGCAGCCACATCTTTCCCTCCGGCGTCAGCTCCACTCCGGCCAGATGCACCAGCAGTGGAGATGTCGACCCATCTGAGGAGAGGAGAGAAGCAGCACTTACGATCCATGTTGCAGTAAATCACTGGTTATCCCTGAGCAGTTGTCCATTATCCTCAACTGAAATGTTTATGTACATTTTAGTTTTACGTTGAAAATAAGAGTCTAGACTTCGTGCTCTCGACATTATTAGGAGCATAATATAGTGATAATGCAAGCGAAAATGGACAAAGATTTCATGCAAAAGTGTTTCTTCCACAGTAATCCTGCTTGCACCTCTATTACCATCAACAAACTCGTAGGCCTATCAGTGCATATACTTGAGCAAATACAAATCCAGTGTAAAACAGTAGACGTTACCCTGGTGCTTTGACAGTAACGGAGAGATGATTGGCAGATAAATTGGGACATGCTCCACTTCTATTCCTCTCTCTGTGATGGAACAAACTTTTCCTCGAAGGCTGACGTTCCCCTCAATGAAACGGACTGGGATCTCTGAAGCGGCTTGAAACTTCGTGATCTGGAGAGATGAAATAAGATGGAGTGACAACATTCGCAGGGATCCCCGGAGTACATCCAACAGCGCGCGGCAAAAGCGTTCAGACCTCAGTAACTTGCTTCACGTTTTATCAGGACACAACTCTTGCTGCAGATTGTCAATGTGGTCTAAATCTTAACTTTGACTGGGCCACTCTAATACACAGGTGTTATTTGATCCAAGCCAGCGGTGTCCAAACTCTTTGGCATGTGCGCCAAAAATGTCCAGTTGAAAGTACAACAGGTACAACACCATTTTTAGAATTTTTCTTCATTATAATTGCAAAACTTTTTGTAGTTTTTCCATTTTCACCTGCTAAAAAAACAATATACTATACACATAAATGAAATACGCAAATTTGCAGTCTTGCATGTTTTCCAGATTTAAAAAAAACAGCAAACTTTGTCCTAAACTTTTCATCTTTTTTTCATTATTTATTTGCAACTTTTTTTGCAACGAGAGCAGGATGTAGTTCACTCATTTTATTTGGCTAAGTGCAGTCTTGCGATCCTCTCTCTGTTGTCAGATAATGGATTAAACAGAGCTCTGTAAAATATCTTAGTTTGAGATCAACTAATGAGGTGAACTTTGTGAGGTGAACCAAAATTGGTTGTGCCGTACTTTATTTAGGGGTATTAGGGTAAAGAAGTTGGATGCTAAAGCATGACACGCTTTTTGGAGTTTTTATTAGTAAGCAAAATTTTGAAACCGTATAGACTAGGAGTGGAAAACTCATTTTTATTTTGGCCCCCATGCAGATCATTAATGTGCGCACAATTTGATAAAACTTCCCATTAAATTGCTAAAAGTGTGTCTTTCTTAGAGTTAAGTAGAATTGAACTTCAGTTTTTACAGTAACGAAATTTGGCAGAACACATATAAAAACTGCTTTGAGTTGATGGATGAAAGAATATGTAGGCTTTTCCAGATAAGGCTCTATTCATGTTTCTCTCAAGAGTCTGAGGTTTCTTGAGTAAATCATTTCTTCAACTGCTTTATTTTTATTTTATTCCTTTCCTCAATCAATACAGATTCTGACAAAAAAACACATGCACGTTCGTGGTTGTTATGTGGCAAAATGTTCAGTTGTTCAGTCGCACTGAATGCTTTTGTGAAATTGAGTCTTCACTGGTTATAGAGGACATATTTGGCCTACTAGAGCTTACCACTCTGATGCTCCTTGCGATGACAATCACACCTGCAACAGCCAGAGCAGTGCTAATGTTCTGTGTGAGACAGGAGAGAGCTGTGAGGGGTCTGTAGAGCTGACAAGAGGGGAGAAATGTAACACGTAGCATGTTGTTTGGCAATGACAGCGTAAGAGCAGAAGAAACTGCTGCTGCTGATGATGATGGTGATGGTGGTGATGATGGTGGTGGGGCGCGAGCACACAGTGCGCTGAATCATTGTCACCGTGTTCAAGAGAGGAAGTGCTTAGAGGTAATTGTGCGCGTTTTTATTCATAGAAACCCACACATTTGTTCCCCTTTCAAAAAAGCAAAACAAAACAAAACGTTTCGTAACAGCGCTGCTTCCACTTCTCTGCCGCGCCGCCTCCAAACAAACCGAAAGCAAAGCGTCCTACCCGCACAAGAGTCAAGTTGTCGTCCGCGAACTGAGATACCACTGACACTACGTTACGAGACGTCTGCTGCTCTCGGGCTCTCTGTTGTCTGTCCCTCCCTCTCTCCACGGTTTCCGTTTCTCTGGAAGTCTCCGGCATGTTGTTGACATTTTCTCGACGCATCTGAGGTGGGAGGGGGTCACTCCAAAGGAGGGCTGGGTTGGAGTCTCCGCCTTGTGGTGTGATGTGGTAACGACAGGCAGGCACCCAGAACGCATCAAGTAACAGAAATAATGAAAAATATTTAACCTTTGATGCAAGATAACCCCACTCAGAGTTGTTTTCTTTTTAAATCAAAGTGTTTCCAAAAGTCTTTAGGGATTAAAACATTTTTTCAAACATTTTTTTAACATGCCCCACAGCTTTCGATGTATGCAACAGATTGGTCACGCCTCAGACGTGTGCACACCTGATTAAAATACCAGGTTGCCATGATGTGAAAGATAAATAAATCCTTTAAAAGTTTTTTTTTTTTTTTTAGCATATAATTTGATGCATACTGTACAATTCAAGTAAAACAAAAATTGGAGGAATGTTAAAATAATAATAATAATAATAATAATAATAATAATAATAATAATAATAATAATAATAATAATAATAACTGTACAAAATTAACAATGATTTGTTTGTTATATTTAATTGCACCAAAAAGTTTGTTCCTGGTTTGGGAGGCATCTCTCAAAAGTTAAATGGTTTATAATAAAAATGTTATCTTAAAATGAGACATCAAACAACATTTGGACCTGGAAAAATCTCTTGAGGAATTGTGAAAGTCAAACTCTTTTTCAAATTGATGACCAGATTTATCTATTTTTCAACGGCTCTTTTGATGATTTTGTGAACAAAAACTCCAAGTCTTTCTTTGGTGATACCAAAGAGAGTAAGGGCTCTTCGGTATCACCCAAAGCTCCCTCCATAGATTCTGTCAGATTCAGTTCAGGGCGGCTCTGATTGGGCCATGCTAAAACTTTAATATTACTTCCAATCAGCAGAACCATTTTGGTAAAATTACCACTCAATAGACAATGATCAGTTGCAGACTCTTTGCAGCTTAAAATCAGTACCTCATTCAATATCTTCAACAACTAGTTGCCAAATATTACTATGTTTCTGCTCAGCCTCCCACGAAGCATGACTGGGCTTCGCTGCAAAAAACACAAAATCTTACAAAGTATATTTGTCTAGTTTCTGGTGCAAATATCGTCATAGCATTGAAACAAGATAAAACTAACCCATTATCTATCCTGTATCTTGCTTGAAAGTTACTTGGAAGTTAGTTTTGTCTTATTTCAGGAGTACCAAGACAACTAGACAAAAAATACTTGCTGAAACTTTGTGATTTTGGAGTGCCGTTGTGTTTTGCCAACTTTCAACACAAGATTTGATAAAATGTTGCCATCTTGCACCAAGGCTGCACATAACAACAGTGCATAGCGCTACGACTATCTGACAAGTTTGACCCAGATGACCTGCGTCTCTCGATTCTGCATCACAGTTTTGATTTTTATGTTTGTTACAGTCATCACCTGTGAAAGTGGTCACATTTCTCTAAGGGTGTAGCATACACTGAACGTCACTGAGATCAATATTGAATCTGTAAGTAACAAAAATCTACTGAGACTCCAAAGTGCAGCATGACAACAATGACTTTGTCACATTTATGTCAGTTGAAAATTAAAAGAAAAAAACTACATCCAGAAAGATTAGTATCACTCCAGCTGTTAATTGAACATTTATTTTTTAGCCAGGTAAATGTTCTTCTCTGTGCCACTGTATTGTTTTTGACTATTGCACGCACTATGTTCTGATTGCATATTACTGGGATGGGATATGATTGTGTGAGAATCTCATGTCAGTCTATATCTGTCTTTGTGTAAAATGTTGCATTGCCTCACTCTCTCCCACTTGAAAAAAAAATCTAATTTTGCCAACTGGAACTAGAAACCCCATTCAGAGAAAGAGCCGTGTAATCTGCAGCTACTCTTACGTTTTATGCTGCTAGTAAACAAAACAGTTTTATGCATCATGTTTTTGTTACGTCGTTGTCTGAACATGAGTGTATGGGACACTAAAATGGTGAGTTAAAATTTAAATGGTTCAAGGAATAAGCACGCAGGTTTTTCTTGGGGATTTATATTTATTTTTTAGAAAAGAAACCTAAAGATAGTCAAACAGGGCAGAATTTAAGCATAAAAATATATTTTTCCAATTTGACAGTTTGCTTTGATAGACCATTTTAGAAAATGAATTGGAAATGTATTAGAGGCTGGCTATTGGTTTTATTTTTGTTTTAATATAGCATTTTAGTTTGTAAATATAATGTTCAATAATAGTTACACTGTGACCAAAATTTCTACTTGAACATTTTGATTCGACACACAATGTGCATTCAATTTGCTGCAAGACTCATTGTGGTGTTTAACAGGGAACTGTAGATGTTTGCATAGGTTGCGTTACAAAAGGTTACCTCAATTTAGCAAATGTACAGTATTGTGGCTGAGAAGGTTTCTGCAGAGAAGCAAACATTTTTATGTGGATTAAATTTTTTCAGTTAACTTCTGAGAGTTTGTTTATTAGTTCTCACTATTTGCTCAATATTTAAGATATGTGCTGTACAGTAATCATAACAACACACATGAATCAAAGTCAAGGGTGAAGTGAATAAAGAAAAATGTTTTGTTTGGAGGAAAGCAATATTCAGTTTGTTAGTGACTTTATAAATTATAATTAGTGTTTGCATTGTTATTTACATAATGTTGTGCATTCACATCAAATAATAAGACTTGTTCTTCTAATAATTTGTTTCATTATTAAGCATAGGATACTTTTACATCTATTTATGAACTAAAATGTGCTTTGTGAATTATGCTAAATACATCTGAGGAATCGCAGGTTATGTATCTTGTATCTTGCAACACAAGATACATGCATTTTCAGTTTTACTTGCCTTTTGGAAACAGTGTCTTTACATTTTTGTAAATATTTATAAAGTACAATAAAGATGAATATTCAGCCCAGAGAAATGTGAAAAATAATTCTAATTACCAAAATGAATTTTTAAAAAATGTCTATTTTCTTCTTATACATGTGTAACCTTAACATAAGGTGTAACTGTCAGAGAAATTATTATTGAATCTGTAATGAACCTGGAAATAGATCAGCAAGTCTTCGCTATGTAAAATATGCCAAAAAATGTTTTATTTAAAAAATAAATAAATAAAAAAAGCAAAGCATGCAGTTTTTGAAAAGTACTTGGCTTGCTCATTTAGAAAATGTGTTGATCCTCCAATTCTTCTTCCACTTGATGCAAAAGTCACAGAACATCCGGTTCTGTCAAACATGAACTCCTCCGCAATAAACCCAAACTCTCAGGATGACAAAACGGCTTAATGACCGTTTGTTGTTCAGCATTTCTAAAGGTGCATTTAGCAGCTCTGACAGACGCTCTGGAGCTCTCATCTTGTAAACTGTGAAGTCATGGAGCTTCTTGAAGCCGGATGACGCCCCCCATCAACACATTTTGGCCAATGGGAGCTGAGAGTTGTCCTCCTGGCCGCCATTAAAAGAATTCAATCCATGTAGTGAAATAATGGAAATCTACAGGAGCCATGGATCCAGGCAGACTACAGCACCCGACGAGTAGTCTCGGAAATTGTGGCGTTTAATCTGTTTTAGGTTCAGTTTTAAAATGACGGAGCGACGTGGTGTTTTTAGCGTACATGAGGGCGGTGTAGCTCATTGTTTTATTGAGGCTCTGGTATGCTAGTTCGGGTGTTAGCACAGGCTAGCTGAGATCAGGGGGAGGGGATAGTTCCTTTGCTTTGAAATTGTTTCTAGCTGACATTAGCATTAGCATACCAGGGACCAAGCTTTTGTGATGAAGTTTTTCTAGCTCATTTTTCTCCTTTCGCATTTAACTTTCCTCATGTTGGATTTTATCGCTTGTAATGTTGTGGTTGCGTTAACGTTGTCTGGCTGATCCTTCGGTATTGTGGGCTTGAGCCTAACCGGATCAGACAATACGTTTCAAATAGGATTGATGAATCAAATTGCTACAAGCCTACAGTTGTCGCTCCCTGGCTGCCTGTCTAACGTTAGCTTAGCCGCCAGGCTAGCGGCGGCTAGCGCCGGTTAGAAGTTGCTGAGCGTTTCAAACGTCGCTTCGACACCCGAGTTTTACACCCATCGGCTCCTGCCCCGAAAGGCGATTGAGACAATGGACTTTAACGTTGCCGTCACGGTGTGAAAAGATGAATTCTTGCTTTGTACCTAACGGGGCCAGTTTGGAGGACTGCCACTCCAACATCTTCTGCCTAGTAAGTCTCCGCTGCTAGCACTAGCTGCTGTGTTCCTGAGAGGCCAGAAAGCCATTTTGGCTAATAAGGCAACAAGCTTTGTAACGTCAGTTGCAGATTGGCGTGAAGGAATTACTGGGCCTGTAACTTGAAAACCGTGAACTGGCCAACTTTTATAACACAACTTTTATAAAACATCGCAGTTTTATAATAAAAGAGTTGTTTATGAGTGCGGAGTCAAGCTGTGTTTACAATTTCAGTTGTTACAGGAATTTTCGGAGCTAGCTACTGTAACAGGTCGGGTCAACAGGCGAATTACCTTTAACACCCTATGTTTCTTTTTCTTTTTTTTTTTAATGAAAAAAACACTTGGCTCACATAGGTCAATTACTGTCTTAAATTGCACTCATAAACAGCTCTTTATTATAAAGTAGTGAGAAAGTTATGTCTTGGGGCCTGTTTGTGTTTTTTATATTGTCAGCAATTCTCTTCCTTTTGTCCTTTTTATTGTGTAAAATACAATTTCATATATATATCTATATATGTATATAGATATATCTCTATATATAGATATATATCTATATATATATCTCTCTCTCTCTCTCTATATATATATATATATATATATATATATGTACCTGCCTTCAGCTTACTGTAAAGGAAAATGCGCTCATGCATAGACATGCAGTAAACAAGTGACAGTTGCCTCCAAACTCTGTTAAAATTCTCACTTTGTTTGCCTCCTCCTCCCCTCTCAGGCTGACTTGACGGGGATAAAGTGGCGGCGTTTTGTGTGGCAGGGGCCCACTTCGTCGCCCATCCTTTTCCCGGTGACCGAGGAGGACCCCATCCTGTGCAGCTTCAGCCGATGCCTGGCAGCGGATGTGTTGAGTG